GAGACTACAATGTGATAGGACAGGGTGATGGCAGAGGTTGTTACGGCGCAGAGGGATTGGTGAGTTTAGAGCAAGGTGGGCCAGAATAGTGGCCGGAACGTCTGGTACCTCCCAAACTCCAGTGATTGGTTCGGACACAAGGAAGGGCGGTGGCTCAAGCCTGCTGAGTCAGGCCTCAGAGACTTGGGTCTTCTAATCTCTGCGGCCTTCTGAAGCCTGTCATAGCGCTGGTTTGGTTCTTCAGTCAAGAATCAAAGAGGTCACATCATTACATAAACTACAGATTTTTAAAGCATAGTAAGAAAGTATTGTGAATAATTCTATACTATTAAATTTGAAACTATAACTGAAATGGCCAAAATCCTTAAAAGACACAAACTACAAATGTTCATTTAAAGAATAAATGAATATTATGAGTAGCACCATATCTTAAAGAAGTTGAATTTATAAGTAAAAAATCTTCCCACAAAGAAACCCTGAAGCCCAGATGTCTTCACTGGATAATTCTATATAACATCTCAGATAGAAATAATAAATATTCCACACAAATTTATCTAGATAATTAAAGAGAAGCAAAATAATTTCTAACTCATTATATGATACTAATATTACTTTGATACTAAGACTAGTATCAAAGACTAGGAAAAAAATGTTAGGAGAAAAAGAACCTACAATGTGATATCCTTCAAGAACATAGATGCTAATATTCCATATGAGAGTTGAGCAAGTGGAATCCAATGATACATAAATATAATAAAACATCATGATGAAGTAAGATTTATCCAAGAAATTCGTGATTCATTTAACACCCAAAAATTAAACAATGTAATATTGGAACACAACCGCACTCATTAACTTATGTATTGTCTCTACCTTCTTTCACACTACAATGGTGGACTTGAGCAGCTGGGAAGAAATATTATGGCCTGCAAAGGCTAATATCTCATATATGGTCCTGTCAAGGATAGGTCTATGTTGAGACTCTGAAAATCTACGAGAAGGCTACTAGAACTAATAAGTGAATTTAGCAAAGTAGCTGGATACAAGATCAACACACACAAATTTCCGTTTATTGGGGCACCTGGGTGGCTTAGTCGGTTGTGTCCAACTTCAGCTCAGGTCATGATCTTGCAGTCAGTGAGCTCGAGCCCCACATAGGGCTCCATGCTGACAGCTCAGAGCCTGGAGCCTGCTTTGGATTCTGTGTCTCCTCTCTCTGCCCATCCCCTACTCACACTCTGACACTCTCTCTCTCTCTCAAAAATAAATAAACATTAAAATTTTTTAAATTTCCATATATCATCAGAAAAACATAGGGAATTGAGGGACACCTAGGTGTCTCAGTTAGTGAAGCATCTGACTCTTAATTTCCACTCAGGTCATGATCTCAGCATTTGTGGGATTGAGCCCCACATCGGGCTCTAAGTGGCAGCTTGGAGCCTGCTTGGGATTCTCTCTCCCTCTCTCTGTCCCTCCTTTGCTAGTGCTCTCTCTCTCTCAAAACTAAATAAGTAAACTTTAAAAAAAAATGGTAAATTAGAATTTTAAATGTAATGGAATTTTAAACATGAAAGTATGAACAATTTAGGAATATTTCTGATAAGAAAAGATGTGAAAAACCTGTAGACCAAAAGTAGCAAAACAATTTTGTGATGTATTAAGAAGACCTAAATAAATGGAGAAATGTACTATATTAATGGTTTTGTAAATACTGAGTGTTGCTATGATGGCTACTCTCTAAACTGATTCTTAGCTTCAATGAAAATCTAATCAAAACCAAAAGAGGCTTGTTTGTTTGTTTGTTTGTTTGTTTAAAACTTGACACATTGGTTGTAAAATTTCTACGGGTATACAAAGGAGTTCGAAATACCAGACAACTTTGAAGAAGAACAAAGTTGGTTTGTTGGGAAAAGATTTTAATATATAGAGAGAGCTTCATATTCTACTTTGCCCATAGTTATTATTAGTGGTGTCTACATGACAGCCTTGGGTAATTTAAATAAAGCCAACATGACTGAGCCTTGCACCAGTCAGGAATTACTTCTCTGGAATATTGCGCACGAAGGTCAAAGCCGTCAACTATTGGGGTGTACTTAATACAGCTGGCCCAAGAGGAAAAGCAGTGTTAAATAGACATAAACCCAAAAGTACCCAATACTTGCGCATACCATTGAATATAGAATAAGAGTTATTCAGAAAAAAAGAAGAGCAAGTGTTATCTAAAGTCCACCGGTTGAAGAAAAAGATGAAACTTTGGGGCGCCTGGGCGGCTCAGTCGGTTAAGCATCCGACTTCGGTTCAGGTCATAATTTCATGGTTTGTGGGTTCAAGCCCTGCATTGGGCTCTGTGCTCGCAGCTAGCTCAGAGCTTGGGGCCTGTTTCGGATTCTGTGTCTCCCTCCCTCTCTGACCCTCCCCTGCTCACACTGTCTCTCTCTCTCTCTCTCTCTCTCTCAAAAATAAATAAAACATTTTTAAAAATTTTTTAAAAAAAAGAAAGAAAAAGATGAAACTTTAAACAAATATTTAGAATTTTAAACAAATGGAGCATACAAAGAGGAGAAGATTGGCAAAAATACAAATATAACCCAAACTGTAAATTTGGATTGTTCACAGGACACAGACTTGAAAGGTATGTATAAAGAAGAGTGAGAAAAAAACTTTTTTTTCCTGCAATGTTATTTACAGAGAGTAGCTTTGCTAACTTCATCAATTAAAAAAAAAGAAATTGGTTGTATTCTATTAACACCAGTGCCAGAAGACTAACATAATTATTCTGCCTTCCTCCTTATGTAGAAAAAGGGACGGATTTTCATCCACATTTGATGCATACAACAGATTTCATAGACTAAGGAAGATGCAACTTGGTCAGTGCCTGTTTGGGGAATTTGTTACTGTTCTGGAACAATGTTTATTTGAGTTATGAACTTTACCCTCGAAATGCTGGCTGCCAGGAAGTTTGCCTCTGGAGATCAAGTCCTAACTTTTTCTGCATGTTGGCAATGACAGCAGAAACACTAACAATAACAAAAGTAGGTCATTTTTGTGAGGGTTATGTCTAGATAGTGAGTGCAGAAAATATGAAGGAGGTTATGGAATATTGATATAAAGAACAACCTCAACTCCGTGTTTGAAAAAGCAGTTCTGGAAAATTAGAGCTGTCAGGGTAAATGAATTGTCCAACAAATGAAAAACAGTTGCACATGAAACATGAACTAGCAAATAAATTTCACCAATCTCTTTGACAGTTTTAATAGAGCCATCAATTTACATTTGTGACATAGTATTATACAAAGTAAGTAAAACAGACATGACCATATATTTGATGAACAATCGGAGACAGAAAATTCTCCTTTCTATAGAATACATTTTTCTGGATACATAATTTATCGTTTCACATTTATCTTGGCATCATCAGAATATATAAGATATTTTATACATCTGGGGTTTTCAGGTATGTTACCAATACATTTTGATTTGCGGATAGATACTGATGGTTAGCATTTTTATGACCATGTCTCATTCATCTTTGCTTTGCAAATTACCCCATTCTACTTTGAAAAGGTTCCCAAGCACATTCCTCCCCCAACCCCCTGCCCAGCAGAATGAAAAAAAGCAGTCAAAACTGAGTCAAAACTGATGTATTAGGAGTGTGACCTAAAACTATTCATTTAGAAAATTAAATTAAAAGTCCTAATTTGATTTGGCCCAATCCTAAGAAAAATTTTATATATAACCCCAGTTTTTCCTCTCCTCATATATTTTACTTCTCCATAAGTGTTTCTTCTCTTTCTGAAAAACCTAAACCATGAATAGTCACATCGTCAAACCTACTCTTAGGAATTACCTGATATCAATTTTTTACTAAATATATATTTAGTTAATTATTATCCTCTTATAGTGTTTGTTTTTTTTAATTTTTTAAATGTTTTATTTATTTCTGAGAGAGAGAGAGAGAGACCGCAGGGGAGGGTCAGAGAGAGAGGGAGACACAATCTGAAGCAGGCTCCAGGCTCTGAGTTGTCAGCACAAAGCCCCATGCGGGGCTCAAACCCACAAATCATGGGATCATGACCTGAGCTGAAGTCAGATGCTTAACTGACTGAGCCACCCAGGCGCCCCTCTCTTATAGAATTTATTGTAATTGCATATTGAAATATGTCATCTTTCTCTCTGATATTTACAGTTTTGCTCTTATTAGTAATGTAAAATCTTAAAACACAAGACCCTGGAGAGCAAATGAAGACACAGGGCAATGATAGGGGCGTTATTATTTTGTAAAGACAAATCAGATTGTTAGAACTTTCTTGTTTCCTTATCATTTCTGCCCACTAGAGTTAGTTTCGATTATTGGAGCCATGCATGACTCAAAACAAGTTACACTCTAAATGATATTTTTAAAAAGCTGCCTTATTTTGTAAGGCCACAAGTCTAAACGTCCAAACCAAACTGACTCCATGACAGGCTTTAAGTTTCCCCTCTGAACTAGAAGGCCTGAGTTTCAGCTTTTCTGAAACTATCAGGCAGTTACACATTGCCCAAGGCAGGAGAAACCAACCTTGCAACACCCAATCAGGAAAGTCCAGCGACCACCCTCCACATTACTAAGGGAGAGGCCTGGAGATAGAAACTATAGATAGGACACTGTTACCTAATGTTAAAGTTAACCTGTTAGTGGCCAAACAAGACCCTAGGCTCGCTCTGTGATTCGTTGAATGTAAAGGTACTCTAAATGTTGTAATTGGATCCCGCCAAAAGTAATGAATACTCTAGACCATGTGTGTGGTCAAACCCACTGTCAATGATGTTGAATTATTATGATTGGATCACTGTTCCCATGTCACAATTTCTGTAACTCCCCTGTCTCAAGCCCCATAAAAACCCTACTCTGCCCTTGTTCGAGGCTCTCAGCACAGATCCATACGCTTGTGAAGTCTGGGAGTCCGAGCTTTAGCCCGTAATAAAGCCCTTTGCTTTTGCATACGTGACTCTGTCTCCTTGGTGGTCTTGGGATTTTGGGGAGATCGCGATCTGGGCATAACAATTTAAAATAAATAAGTCGACTTGTGTTACACAATTGGCTACAGACCCCAAATAACAAAGAAATACAGAAGCAAAATTTCAAAGTAAGGTGAGTGATAGCCATCTGTGTTTTCAATTTAACTCTGAGAGCCTACTCTCTGACTTTCCTACTATAGATCTACATTTTCTCTTCGCTCAGGACATGGGACAAACAATACAGGGAAAACATGTGCTTTATGGCATTGCCACTTCTGTGAGTCTTTCTTGAATTGTGACGAATCCAAGAGTAATGCTACATCCTTAAACAGACCTTCTCATCCTGGTGTTTTCAGTAATTTGGTTAGCAATAAACTTCCAGATCTCATCCTTCACACACACACACACACACACACACACACACACACACACATACACTAAGCCATGCAAAGAAATATGGAGTTTCTGGGTCAGGATAGCATTTTGTTTGGCATCTAATTAGTTGAGCATTGCTGGGATTCACTTTGGAAATGAAATCTCTAATTTCAGCAAGGGAGAAAGAAAAGGGAACCGAAACAAAGCAGGTCATTAACCTGGAACCAACTCTCGGATTTAATTTCTAATAACACAGACTTTCGATTCAATCTAATACTAAATAAATATTCTAATAAAAGGAATTTTGGGTGCCATACTCTTTACCTCCTTGACTGAGAATGTGAGCTGTCCCACACAACCTAAAGCGGAGTGGGAATAAATCAGTCACCAGAGCACAAACTTAATCTTTTGGCAGCTAAACAGGAGCCGAGGGAATGCAGGGCTGCCTTGCATAAAAATCTCCTCACATGCGCGATGAACCAAAGCAATTCACACAGAATGAATATAAATTTTCTTTCCCATTAGTATGTGGAGCTGTTTTCCCGGAATCCATACTAACCGCAGATCTCAATCGGGTTTTCACATGCCCATATGACTTATGGTCCAGTTGTCTTCCCATGGGGCAATCTGTCTAAAGATTTTCATAGTCGTCCTCTTAAATTTCAGAACTCACTGTGGACATAAGTTTTAGTTTTGATACAACCTGCATAAAGTTAGAGGACCAATCTTCCTCACTGTTATGAATACAGGATTTCTGTTGATAAAATTATACATGTTAACTTGGTGTCAGCTAAGTCAGCTTCGTTTGACTCACCAATTTACTTGACTAAATTATAAGTACCTTCTGTACATAACATGCTGGTAGGTGAGTCCATTCCATTACTCAGTAGTTCGTTTGTTGACCTTCAGTGCAAAATGTGTTTGATTACTCCCTAAATCTATGGGACATTCTCAGCCCTTTCCTCCAGGTTACTGGGATAATTTCTTAAAAATAAACTAATCTAAATAAATAGAAAACAGGGGCGCCTGGGTGACTTAGTCGGTTAAGCGTCCGACTTTCGCTTAGGTCATGATCTCGCGGTTCATGGGTTCAAGCCCCGCGTCGGGCTCTGTGCTGACTGCCAGCTCAGAGCCTGGAGCCTGTTTCAGTCTGTGACTCCCTCTCTCTCTGACCCTCCCCTGCTCACGCTGTCTCTCTCTCTCTCTCCTAGAAATAAATAAAACATTTAAAAAATAAAAAATAAATAAATAGAAAACAAAAACAAACGAAATACCAAATATAGAAGAGGCAGTAACTCAAAAGATAACACAGTCATTAATAGTAATGGCTAGTAATGGAGAGATTTTTTTTTAGCACTAAGAAACAGATATTGCTTCATTAAATGAATGAAATAGTTGACTACTCATTGGGAAAGAAATATAACAATAGTCCTAGGTCCAAACACACAGTATGCATTTCAGTTAGATTAAATATATGAACACTAATAAAGTTTAGAAGTGTACTTTTTTTAACATTTTTAATGTTTTATTTATTTCTTAAAGAGAGAGAAAGTGTGAGCAGGGAGGGTCAGAGAGAGAGGGATATACAGAATCTGAAACAAGCTCCAGGCTCTGACCTATCTGTCAGCACAGAGCCAGACGTGGGGCTCGAACCCTCGTACTGCGAGATCATGACCTGAGCCGAAGTCGGATGCTTAACTGACTGAACCACCCAGGTGCCCCAAAGTGTACTTTTAAAATATAATGATAAAGTATGCTTTCCATGCATAAATGGCCTTCCACTAGCGATAGAAACTATGAAGGTGACAGATATGGCATTGTATTAATTCATCATAAAGACAAAATTAACACGAAATAATAAACTGGGGTACATATTTCCAACATAGATACATTTGTAAGGTTAATTCATTTAAATTGCAAAAGAGCTTAAATGATTTAAAATGCAAAAGAGCTTAGATGACTTAAAAAGAATAGAGGGTATTCAATATATGTAATTATTATATGAGATATATATATGATATTATTAGAAGATACACCAGAGCTTACAATCACTAATAATAAAAGACATTTAAATTACAACAGAGTTGCAACACATATTTTAACCTATTGAATTGGCAGTGTTATTCAATTGATAATTCTTAAATGACTATTGACAATGCTTCTTATTCTTTTTAAATTTATTTTTATTTTTTAATGTTTATTTATTTTATTGTCATTATTTTTTAATTTTTTAACATTTATTCATTTTTGAGAGACAGAGCATGAGTGTGTGAGGGGCAGAGAGAGAGAGACACAGAATCCAAAGCAGGCTCCATACTCTGAGCTGTCAGCACAGAGCCCGACGTGGGTCTCAAATCCATAGAACCATGACATCATGACCTGAGCCGAAGTCTCACGCTTAACCAATAGAGTTACTCAGGTGCCCTTAATGTTTATTTTTGACAGAGAGACAGAGTGTGAGTGTGGGAGGAGCAGAGAGAGAGGGAGATAAAGAATCTGAAGCAGCTCCAGGCTCTGTGCCATCAACACAGAGCCAGATGTGAGGCTCAAACTCATGAACAGTGAGATCATGGTCTGAGCTCAAGTCTGACACTTTATCAACTGAGCCACCCAAGCACCCCAATACTTTGTATTCTTAAGGGTTTATGGAAACAAATAATGTCATACTTAGTGTGGCAGCATGAAAACTGGTACAAGCTGTCTAGTTTTTAACAGTGAGCATTGAAAATGTCAGCAAATGACTCCTGAAGCAACATTAAATAAACAGTAAATTCATGAAGGATAATAATAAACAGCTATTGAATTATGACACACATACATCCTGAATATAGGTCTGGATGTGTGCTATACACGAATGTATTCAATTAATTGAACTTAAAATATTATAAAATAACTATTTTCCTACCAACTAACTGTATGGAAAGTAGCAAACCCCATAGCTTTTCTGGTCACTTCTAAATACAAATAGTCTCTTTACATATTAAAAATTAAGCAATGTGTAATATCATGGATTCATTCTATTATGCATTTTCATAAATTTTCTCCCCTCTCAGCTCAGTTCAGAAGTTGCCTGTTAGGAGGGGTGGTGTCCATTATTCCAAAGCTGTAATCTGGAGTCGTCTGTGTGTTGAAATAAAATTCTACTTCCTTCTTAAAGCAATTTTGAGGATTCCTCAAAGCCCTGTGACTTGCACTTCCTGAAGCCAACAACATTTCTTATGGAGGGCTACTTATGATTTTATGCTCAGCTACTGGCTTTCAGGGGTCTGCCCCTCCCCCACATGCCCACACACACTGCTGGGATCATGGTTGACCAGGAATAACTGTTTTGTTTAGGACTTTTCAAGATATTCCAAGTCTGGCACCCCTCTGAGATGTCCACATAAAGCGCCTGGGTCAAAAGCAACTTGACTAGCATCTAAGATTAGAACAAATATTAAGGGGAATGTTTAAGACAGATCTAACACACCATGTTACATATACCTCCCCCCAAAATGCAGATTCCCCTTAAAGTCAGAGAAGTCTGTTTTTCACTTAGAATCCAGCCGAGCTCTAAAGAGCCGCGGGTGAATGATGCGTCTTACTGGGGGACCTAAGCTTGACTCTGTTTCGCGGGGCACCTTTGGGACTTTCGTAGGACAACAGAAGTCGTGACACGGGAACTCTGAGAAGACGCAACAGCAGTCCCTTCACGTTTTGAACCGTCATTGAGTCTGTCAAAGAAAAGACACACCCTCAGGTCCCTCGAATGACAGTTCCCCGTAAAACTAGCTCACGTGACAAGCCCACAGGCACGGTGACTCAGTGTGCCTTTACCTGCATAGATCATTAGGGAAAGTCCCACCTGCCCGGGGAAGGCGAGAGCCGGGTCCACACCCCTTACCGGACATTCGGGAAGCTGCTGGAAACGGAACCAATATTTGACCCAAGTGCCCTTTGACGATGGTTTTCCATTACGATTTCAGTGGTGTTTTATTTCCTCCTTACTCTGAAGAAACCAGAAATTCTATTCTCTGCACAGAGGAGTAAATGTGAGTAAAATCATGAACTTTCCAAACCTTTGTGATTATTCACTTCTGGATTCAAATTATAGAAACAAAGGTCTGTTTATAAAAAGAGTATAACACACTCTTTCCATTAGGACAAAACTATGCCGTTAAGCTAACTAATTTGTACATAACAACAACAACAACAACAAAAGAAATATAAATTATTAAAATGAACTTCTGCAGCAGATAAAAAGCTATGAATAAATTGTAAGAAATTAAGAGTGATTACCAGAAACAAATATCTGAAATCTAATTATTTTAATATATACATTTTGATAAGAGAAAAATGAAACATTACCCACTTTTTTTAAATTTATAACTTACACTGTGGTAAGGAGCAGAAAAAAAATTCTAAAACAATAGATCAATCTTACTAATACAAATTGAGTATTAGAACACTGAATCTAACGGTCTAAAAGACTATCAAACTATCAAAAAAAAAAAAAAGAGTATATTCCAGAAATGCTAGGGTCATTTAATAATAAAAAAATTATATTCAGTATAACACATAAGAGAAACATTCTTTAGAATGTTTTAACTAGATTTTTCTATTTAAATGTTGCCTGAGTAATACAATTGGATGAAGAGTGATTTTGAAATAAACGGATGAAGAGTGACTTTTAAGGTTTCTATACAGAAATTCTCTCCTCCTGAAAAGCACAAAATGACAGGTCGATTTCAAACTCACATCTTGGAAAATATTTATTTA